TTTCGGCTTGTGCCATTTATGACCCAGTTTACGGGCGAAGGGTTAAAGAATTAGTAAACTGTCATTTCTGCTAAACGTAGCCATTGATTGGTTATCGAATAGGAAATATCTAGGGTCCCGAGATCTTTTTCGGCGTCCAATCAAAATTCTTAAAGGAATTCTTACGAGAAATGAGGTATTAACGTTAACCTAAAACGCTTTAATACACGTGTTTTGAGTTTTGAGAGATCATAATTGGATCGTTAACGGCTTATCGAAGTAAATTTGAACAAATGTAACTCACGTACGAACAAATGTAAGTCACGTGATAGTGATAAGAAACGTGACAGTTTGAGTTTCAACTTCGCAAATAACGAGTACAGTGAAAGAAAATTAATACATATAGTGGATAATGCACGGTCATATTCACAGGTTAGATAAATTTCTAATATACCGTACCTTTTTCGTATTTCTTACTTTATTCACCTTGCCTTGTTAGCTTTTCAAGATGTATTTCTTTAAACTCGTATTTTTATTGTTATGTAAGTTATGTTACGCAAATCTATCTAATATATAATAATTACTGCTTTGTTTTACTTAATTATATTAACGCCTTTCCTTGCACAAAGAGGAGTAGACTATTGACAACGAAATTATTAATCATTATTAAAATAATTACTTTTTATAATAAGTCACATTTTTAATAACTTTATACGTTATTTTTTGCATAATATTGTTATGTTACTTCATGTCACCGTGTGATTATACACAATATTTCAAATTTAAAGCTTTAAACTTTAAGCGAATCTAAAACTTTACATGATTTATAATTTGCTGATTTAATTTAGAATTGAGCATAGAATTTTTGTTTATTATATGCATTGTGTATTTTGATATATATTTTTAAATGACTCATATTTCATTTTAAAAAAATATAGTATATATAAAATTAATAAAATTTTCTTACAAATTTTAGTCTGTCTGACGACAAGTTTACAGAATTATCTGTCATACTTTCAGATAATGCAGTTAATGGATATAAGCAAAAGATCCCGCCTATATCAAATTCTCATAAATCATTTATGACAATCTTTATCCACTGATCCACATAGTAAAATTAAAAACAGAAGTTTATAGTTAAATTATATTTATAATTAAAAAGAATAGAAAATCTTAAATTAGTACCTTGACTAAGAAGGATTTGGTATCTTCCGTGAAGACACTGTTTTGCAAAAATGGTGAAAGAAGCATCAGGTGAATCTGCAAGAGAGATACAATTAATAAATTCAGATGATGAAGGATCCATTCGCTTGCCATCTGATAATCAGCAAAAGCCAATGGACAAGGTACAAATGAAAAAGCAATTAGGCCTTTTGGAAGGAGTCGCTATTATATTGGGAATTATATTTGGCTCAGGTATACTTCATCTATAAATTTTCAATGAATAAAAATTTCAGTTTTTTTTTTTAACTACAACGTACTTTTATATATTTCATGTCTTTATACATTTGTATTGATATTTAAACTGAATGTATTTGCAGGCATTTTTATCTCGCCGAAGGGAGTAATACAGGAAGTGGGTAGTGTAGGATTATCTCTGATTATATGGGTGCTGTGTGGTCTGCTCTCTATGATAGGTGCTTTGTGTTATGCGGAGTTGGGTACTAGCATACCTCGCAGCGGAGGAGATTATGCTTATATTCACGAAGCCTTTGGAGCATTGCCTTCATTTTTGTATTTATGGGCCGCTAACTTAATTTTTGTGTAAGTAAATTTCCAATTAGATTTTACCAGTTGATGAAAAACTTTATGGAAAAACCATATTTTTGTCATTTACAGACCTACGACAAATGCTATCATGGGACTAACGTTTGCTCAGTACGTCGTACAACCATTTTTTCCTAATTGCACCACTCCAGATGACGGTGTGCGACTAATCGCTGCGCTGAGCATATGTGAGAATTTAGTGTCTTGTGTTAAAAATCAAATGTCTAATTATCTGAATGCAAATATATCTATAAAGTATGCAGATGAAAATATCTGTTGGCACGTTTCATCTGGATGCAGATATGAACTTAAAAGCAAATAGCTGGATACGTCTATATATGAATATAGCTAAATTTAGATAATTTAAATTGCTCGAGGACTTTAAATTGCTCGAGGACTTTATTAATAATATAATTTATAAAATCTACTGTGTTCACAGGCTTACTCACTTTCATCAATTGCTACGATGTAAAAGAGACGTCAAAGATGCAAAATATATTTATGTTTGCTAAAATTGGAGCATTGGTGATTATTATTATAGCTGGATTAGTCTGGCTTTGCTTAGGTATGTTTCTTAGCAAATCTTTAACGATGTAGTGTTCTTTAATCGAAGCCTGTTATGTTAATTAGGGCACAGGGAAAACTTCAAGAACAGTTTTGAAAACACGAATACCGATCCTGGCAAAATTGCTGTAGCCTTCTACTCTGGCATATTTTCTTACTCGGGATGGAATTATTTGAATTTTATGACGGAAGAATTAAAAAATCCTTATGTGTAAGTTGCATTGGCAATGTGTCATCTGGCAAAGATGATTAATCTTTCTATTATACCGTGGAAGAAAAGAGACAAGTCAAAACTTCGAAATATATCGATTTCATTTCCCGATTGTCAAAATTAACAAATAATTTCTTGTTAGAAATTTACCACGTGCCATTTACATATCACTGCCGTTGGTCACCTTAATATATGTTATGGCAAATGTCGCTTATCTGACCGTTTTAACTCCTACTGCTATGCTTGCTTCCAACGCCATCGCTGTGGTAAGTTGTACTCTTATCCAATATATGTAACAATCCATCCAGTTAAGATATATTATCAGACGTGTACAAAATTTAATTTTTTTATTTAGACTTTCGGTAATCAACTTCTCGGATATATGGCCTGGATAATACCTTTAATGGTAGCTGTGTCCGCTTTCGGAGGGTTGAGCGTTCACATTATGACGTCATCCAGAATGTGCTTTGTTGGCGCCAGGAACGGCCACTTCCCCTCTATGCTGAGCCACATCAACATGTCCAGGCTCACACCTACGCCTGCCTTAATATTTCTGGTGTGTACGATGCTAATTATATCTGCTAATTGTGTCAATTTTTTTAAGGCTCTTCATCTCTCGCAACTACATCGTATTATGGTCATAGGAGAACAAAAATTATAAATGTTCTCTTTTACATCGTACATTAAATTAAATGCTTTTCTTTTTTGTATATCATAACTCAATCCTCTTTGCATTTGCAGTGTATTCTGTCTCTCGTAATGTTGTGCACAGGTGATATATTTGTACTGATCACATACTGCAGTATAGTAGAGTCTTTCTTCATCATGCTCTCCGTAGCTGGAGTTTTATGGCTGCGTTATAAAAGACCTGATATGGAACGACCGATCAAGGTAACACGCTTTATATAAAATTATCAAACAGCAACTATATATCGAAGTCAATAATAATTTTTTTCCTCAGGTACCATTATGGATACCTATAGTGTTTGTAGCGTTATGCGCTTTTCTGGTTGTTGTACCATGCTACGAAAGACCATACGAAGTCGGTATGGGCATTCTGATCACCGTGTCTGGCATACCCGCGTATTTCTTCGGTGTTGCTTGGAAAAGGAAACCTTTGTGGTTCCAGAAAATTAACAGTTCGTAATTCCCACAAATATTGACTAAATTTATTCAACATTTATACAATCAAACTTTTCTATATTCTCTTACTTAATTCATTGGGATTATATAATCTCCTTATTCTGAATTTTCCCTTCAGTCAATTTTAATGGCATGCACAAAATGGAAATGGTGTTATCACGAATAACAACATTGCCATTATGTGCAAGTACCAAGTATAAAGTCGCGAAGCAGCACAAGAGATACTAGAAATTTATTAAGATTGAGAAAAAATGAACACAAGTTTAGAATACTGAGGCTGTTTAACTACATGTTTACATTTAATTTATATTTTCCTATTTTGTTTTCAGTTAAAGCTACTTACGCTGTACAGAAGTTATTTCTGTCTGCAAGGGAAGAACTCGAAATCGATTAAGTAAGCAGCAATTTTACAATTAAATTCGGTCGAATGTACGAACGTACACCGAATACACATTTACCAAAGAAATTTTGAGATTTGAAAAAGAAACTCATAATTTTACATATGAATACTAAAATTGAAAAAAGTATAGAATATCAAGAATCTCTCGAAAAAGATATAGTTTTAAAAGTTAAAGGATAATAGGCAACTAGAGAAATTCTCTAAAAGTACTTATATCTACAGATTACAAAAGTGAAGTGAAAGAACAGTAAATGATCTGTATTGCGAATAAGATAATCTGAGAAATGCATTTTATGATTCTTAGGCTACGGTCAACGTGACGCTACAAATGCTTTGGAGCGTTCTTCTTCTCTTTCTTTCTTCATTGAAAGAAAAGAGAAGAGGAATGCTTCGAAGCATCTGTAGCGTCACGTTGACCGTAGCCTTAATATTGCAAAAGGTGTGTCTTTCGTTTTCTTTTGTGTGCTCCAGTATTATTAATATATTCAATTAATTTATGATCAATTTTTTATTCTATTGTATATCAAATATTTACAAAATATTCATGTGTGAGAAAGTTTCGTAAGTATTTATGTATTGTAAAAACTGTATTTTGATAATGTCAGTATATTGCAACAAAAAATATATATATATAATTATATTAAATAGATTGCATTGTAAAATACTTCTTATTCATCCCCAACTTTCTAACATCCTTCTAACTGAACACATCGTTTTCTTCCGTTTCTATTTCACTAGGAGAATTATAATTATTGTTAAAATTATTGAAAAGATGGTAGAAATAAGAAAGAATTTTTAACTCATTTTCGAAGTTTGCATTTGCATTTTATTGTAATTCAATGTCAATATAATTTTCAGTATTAGACTCAATTAATTAATGTAATGAAGTATCGAGATAAGATGAATCAACAACAGTTTATTTTACAATTTTGGATTTTAAATTAAAAGTCATTATGTATATATCCTTATAACTAAAACTATAATTTTTTTCACACAGTTATTTTCATTAATAATAATTATGTATACGATTGTATGTATATATTCACAAAAACACATACATATACTTTAAAATGACGAGAGAAAACTAGCTATCTATTAGTTCTCACTCATAAAAGTGTATTAACGGCAATTTTACATCACTTTCACCGAATAACCGAGATAGACACGTGGAATGCGATAACCAAAAAAATAAATCTAGTTTATTGTACACATTTGGTGTGATCTTGTTAACGTCACATTTATATTAATGAATATCTTCTGGATTGAACATGCCCTGTAAACAATTTAACGAATAAGATTTTCAGAAAGATGTTATCTAACTGCAAGTTAAATTGAACAGCAATTTGCTGTTGTACAATGTGGTAATCAATTTGGCAAACAAACATGTCATACCTTAGCACGTCTCAAGATGGAATCTTTACTGGCGTCATATGGATGATCCTTGCTGGGAATTTCCAATACAGAGGGTATCGGTTGAGTATGACCGTCAATTACATGACGAATCATTTCCGCTACCTAGACAGAGTACTGAACGTTAGATTGAGAAATGTAACATTATTCGAATGCTTCATAAAATTGCGTTTGTCAGCGGCTATGACTCCATGATCAACTCGTTGTTTCAATTCAATTATTTAAATCAATACACAACGCGGCAGCGTTTGGCAGCGCTAATGTGTGACAGCGCATAAATATAGTTGAATTATTTAATGTTGGGATTTTTCGGAAAAATTTTAATCGCCGATGAAACAATCCTTTCAGCTACTTACATTCTGATTAATAAGAATGATGTCGATGTCGTCGCGCTTGACAAATCGCTTAAAAGTATCCTCTATTTCACTCACGGGTGTGTCTACAAGAATCGTTATTTCACGCTGTTAATTTACACTGTTGTAAGTACATTATTTTAATACAATTGTATGCATTTTCTACGACAATTATACATCATGACTTATTATGTTCCTTGTATATAGAAGCAAGACATAAAGAATAGTGGCTGATTAGCTAATCGGTCTCCTTCTTTTAAGTAATAATGGAAAATAATTGGTTGCTGTGCGCAAAAGCCATTGCAATATGCATACTAATATACATACTTTTGTCGACAACCATGAAGTTAGGCTGACGGTGCTTATTGATCTCTCCAACTCCACCCAGCAAGAAACCCACGCAAGTATCCTGAAAGTAATGTAACAAATCTCACGTTGTGGTCAAGCACCGGGGTCGATATTTTTTTATTTAACAAAAAAAAAAGAGTTGAATAAGGGAGACCATCTCTGATCAGATTGTCATTGCATTTCATCGTTTACATTTATCATTTGCTCACCTCGTCGCCGATCACCGCCAAAAGTTTACCCTTCCCTGCGGAATGAAGCGCCATTATACGTTTGTCTTGGTAAGCGAATTGAATCTCGCGAAAAAAGTTCTCGAGCGAAGCGAGAATCCGTCGTTTATTATCGGTTGCGCGTCAGCTGACGAACCACACCGTAGATCGTCACGTGTCACGTGTCACGTGCACTGTTGTTGAGGGGTCGCGAGATGGAGCGCGCATGCGCGAGATACGTGCTCACTGAGCACTTTTTACATGCTTATTATGCATGTAATTTGGATTTTTACAGTGCCGAACGATATATAAGTTTATTACATTCAAGCTTGTTTTTTGTAGCTGAACATTTTTTTTTTTATCTTTTATCTGTTTCTCTCAAACGTCTAATTGCGCGCATGTATTTTATTTGAAGTGCAGTAGGTAGAACTCGGTGTAGCTCACAACAGTCCGCCATTCTTGCTTTCCAAAAAGAAACCGATAGGTTGATATCAGCCGTCACGTGAAACACGCGTCATCATTAGCGCTGTCATCAGCTGTCATTGCTGACTGCTGTCATTAGCGCTGCCAAACGCTGCCGCGTTGTGTATTGATTTAAATAATTGAATTGAAACAACGAGTTGATCATGGAGTCGCAGCCGCTGAAAACGCCCGAAAAACCGCCACCGCCGTACTCCGTCGCAGCGGCTCCAGCAGGTGTGTCTCGCGATTTCTAGGTTAGGTTGTGCTGTCTGTAAAAGTATTCCTTTCTCCGCGAATTTTGCTTCACGCGCAAAATTGTCGATTTTATTTCGTTGGCGCCAATTTTCCTGCTGTCCAACTTTCTTGCTATCCAATTTTCTATGCTATCTGGTTACCTTTCATTAATTAGTTTATAGTAATACAGTTTCAACATTTGTTCCAAATTACTCACTTACGCGACTAATCTAGATAGTAGAACATTCTTGTCAAAAGTAAAGACCTAAGAATTGAAGTTTTTTACACATAGATAAATTATATAATTATACCTTCAATTCTAGTAGCACTTTTATTTTGCAAAAACAGATATTGTCGATAAAGCTAAGAGTATTTGCAAATTTATTGAAAAATTTATATTATATAAATTTATTGTAAAAAGTTAGTGAATTTAAAAAAAAGAGATATTTATTCGAAGAAGAAAGGAAAAGCGACAGTGATTCACCCGTAAATTATTAATATCTTGTATGTTTTCTAATGAATCTTTATCATTAGCGAATACGCACTGGCAACCACCTCCCGGATACTATCCTAATAACATCAACCCTGGATATCAAGAAAGCCATGTTCCATCGTACGGTGCTACACATTCCACCGCGATTCTTGTTCCAGAAATTATCATAGTCGGCGGCTGTCCAGCGTGCAGAGTATGCAAATCTTTTGTTACTCGAATATTATCATTTTCGCCGATTATGCTAAAGCCAAAAGTTAATAACATTTAAATTATGTAAAAACAGGTAGGTGTAATGGAGGATGATTTCACGTGCCTTGGCCTGCTTTGTGCGATTTTCTTCTTTCCTATTGGGATACTCTGCTGTCTGCTGTTGAGGACAAAACGCTGTTCTAATTGCGGAGCCTATTTTGATTAATTAAAAGTAAGAATTTCCTACGTTTGTATACAAAGAGTAATATCGTGTCAGATAGACTTAAAGTGGGTAGAAATGTTTTATCATCAATGTTAAGAATGATGAGGATCTGACATTTAATTAGAATAATATATTTTTATAGCTAAATAAATTAGTTTATATTGATTATTACAATTTGAAATAAAAAAGAAAGTTACAAAGTTTTAATTGTAACAATAATTAGTTGAGAAATAGGGATTATATTTTTATGTAAACTAAGTTTTGTTAATGCCTAGTTGCAGGCGTGTCTTATTAAATAATCTCTCATTTACTTTGCATAACTAATTTTGACCGATCGTTAATTTGTTCCTAAGGGCTCGTGGACAATGAGAGAAACAAGGAATTAAACATAGAGATAATTCCGTGTCTTGAAAAAATATGCGACTATAAATTATCTCTATGTTTAATTCCTTGGTCCTTATTCCTCTCATTGTGCGTGAGCCCTAAGACAGCAATACAATTTTATCTTGTTAAATTGAGAAATGTTGAATTAGAATAATATAGCCAAAGCTGTAACAATATGTATGTATATAGATAGTACATCTCTGTTGAATAAATTCTAAACGATGTATTTTGATAAATGAGTAAGCGTAATTTTTTAAAATCATCACTTATTACTTTATAAGACAAGATATAATACTAAAAATATTATTTGACATTTCTTAATGAATTAATTATATCCCTCTTAGTTTATAGGTAACAATCGTCCGATTTCCAACCACAGATTTAAAAAACTGAAAAGTGATATTATATCAATATTGTAATTACACTAATTGCGAATCTCTGATTAATATACTATTAAAAAGATGCAATCTCTCAATCATGACGAAGAGGAAGAGAGACAAAAAGTAAAGAAGTTGCGCGTGGATAATAAATGTCTCAGGCATTGCTGGTTTGTCTAATTATTTTATTAGTGTAACTATCGAATTGTTATCTAGTTATACGAATATCAAGTGCGTGTAAGTAATAAAGTTTCGTGAATAAAATTGTTCAAATTAAACAAAAATTTTTACTAAGAATTAGAAATAATAAAGAAGAGTTGCCGATGAATTTGGTAAAATTGTCACTTTTAAGGTATAAAGCAAACATTGTAATACAGACAATGGTTTTTAAGAGTTTCTGTATGAATTAATATAAAATATTTCATCGCACTTATGTTATAGAGAAGATAATGTCATAAAAATCTAAGTTATAAAATATCGAATCCCTTTTTAAATTATTATCTTTAGTAATATCTCCTTTCCCTTTCCATAGCAAATTAGAAGAGAGTTCTATTGGAACAAATGTTCCATCTACTGGAAGTAGATCAAAAAATGTAAAAATACTTGAATAAACATGTAAATTTAAAAGAAAAATTTGTAGTACTAAAGGTACCTGTAGTTGATGGATTGATTTTAACCGTGTTGTCAGCAACACTTGGACCAGTGGCACATAGAAAAACATAAGCAGCAAGACTTAAGGAAGTAATATAGTTAGTTGGATTAAGAAAATCAATTTTTTAATAGATATTTAGAAAATTTCGAGTCTTGAGAATGCGCTTTCGAGGTTTTAAGGGTAAATTCGATTATGATTTATTAGATTTCAGCGCATTATTATGACAACTTATCAAATCTATCATCGAGAAAAGAAAAAAGTCAAGAATTGAAGATGTCAAAAATTGTAAATTTTTAATATTCACTCACCTCTCATTATACAAAAAACTTAATTTTATTTACAAAAATTATCTAAAAAAATTAATGTTGTTACATTATAACATTTCTATATTCTTAATAATATTCTTATATATCATAATATTATTATATTCTTTTAAATAAACGTTAGACTTATTGTAATTTTGAAAGTAAACATGTTTTTTTAAAGAATATAATGTGCTATTTTTTTACTTGTGTCTTAGATTACCTGCTTCTTCTACCCTTAATATTTTACATATGTATATTCTCAACATAAATATTATACTTATTACACTTAAATATTATGCTTCTATTGATTGTTAAAACTTGGAGCTCACATTTATACTAATGAACGTTAATGTATGTGTGATCAAATATTTATCTAATGCTGTTGAGATATTATCATGTCTCTTGTTGATTATAAAACATTCTGCGATTGATCTTTGTCACAAAGAGATTATCAAAATGATATTACTTAAAATAAAATTACTAATACTTAAAAATAGAATATCTGAAATGTGACGCAAATTTCAAAAAGATTAATCGAATGCGGTAATAAATTATTTATTGTGTTAACAGCTGCAGCTAAGTAATTACGTTACTCTTGTTTTTCAACTTTATCGTCATCGAAGTTCAAATATCTCGTATCAACAACGTATAAATTGCTACGGAATAACCCTTATAAAAATTTAATACTGTAAGTGATTATTTGGCTAGT